TATATAAATTGTATGATGTGTGTGTGTGGCAAGGGGGGGGTGCCATGTGCCTTAGCATGCATGTAGATGTCAGAGCACAACTTTGTGGAGTTAGTTCTCCCCTTCCTCCTTTACGTTGGTTCCAGGGATTGATCTCAGGTTGTCAGGCTTGTGTGGCAGGCACTTTATTGGCTGTTTCATCTTGCCAGCCCTCTAATGAAATTTTTACTATGTCATAGATGTAAGAATTTTTCTCTGAGAGTCTATAATCTAATGGAGGTAAGTAGTACTTGGTCACTATACCAAGAGGCCTAAGAAAGAAATAAGAAATGTAAACACTGAATTGGGAATATAAAGAAAGAAATTTATTGTATTTTGCTGTGTCTTTATACATTTATATCTATCTATCTACCTATCTATCATCTATCTATCTATCTATCTATCTAAATTTTTCTCTGAGAGTCTATAATCTAATGGAGGTAAGTAGTACTTGGTCACTATACCAAGAGGCCTAAGAAAGAAATAAGAAATGTAAACACTGAATTGGGAATATAAAGAAAGAAATTTATTGTATTTTGCTGTGTCTTTATACATTTATATCTATCTATCTACCTATCTATCATCTATCTATCTATCTATCTATCTATCTATCTATCCAGCATTTTACCATTTCTAAAATGGGTAGACATCTTGAAATCTGGTAGTTTCTTAGATATGAGGAAAGCTATGCATTTTGAAAATAATGAAGGCCTGTAAATCTTTGGTGGATGAGGAATTTAGCTAAGTGGTAAAAATTTTTGTCTTAAAGAACCCAGACACAAAAATCTGTGGTATGCTAAAAAATGGTGCACACTGACTGAGAGGTTCAAGAATGACATTAGAAGAAGTGGGTTGATCTGTTTCATGAGAGACTGAAGAGTGGTGGAATTTTATTCCATAGTTAAGTAGAAAACTACTCAAGGGCTTTGAGAAGGAGAAAGTATGATATATTTTTGACTGAATTTTTTGATCTCTATTTGGAAGTAAAAGCTTTTGTTAGAAGAGGAATTGGAGGAAGGGGAATGTTTGATGTTTTGAAATAATTGCTTTTTTTAATTGGAAGGAAAAGAAATAAGTTGAGGAAGTAGGGTGAAGACCTTGTGTGCAATGGGTTTCCTTGTGTTTTACATTTAGCCCAAGTGGAGTAATTCTAGTGTAGAGGTCAGAAGAGTAGTCAGAGCTAATGCTGAAGATTTAGGAGGTATATGTTGATTAATTAAACACATTTCAAGGAATGAGATTTTTAAAAGAAAATAAAGAATATTATAAAACTAGTAAATAGATCTATATTTTTAAGAGTTTGAAATATAATTCGTTTACCAAATGAGCCACTTAATTTAAAAGTATATAATGCAGTGGCTACTAGTTTTAAAATATTCTCACCCTCCCCAATAAATCTTGCAGTGCCTTTTCCTGTTTATACAACAAAGTAATTGGAATTTGGCAGGGATTTCATTGAATCTGTGTAAGCTTTATATCTCAAAGGGGATAAGAGGTAGTTATTCTGGACTCAAATATGAGTGACCATTGCCCAGGAACACAGATTTAGGTTATTCTAAATTCCATATTCCAATGTGGAAACAGTTTGATGAAATTTTTATAGTAACAGAACAGAGAAAGTCATAAATTAAGGCACTTTCCAAAAACAATGGTAGAAACATTAGGTAGCCAGGCCTATATGTATATAAGTGCAACATTTGTGTGCAGTACCTGCAGAGGCCAAAAGAGGGTGTTTGGATCCTTTGGAACTGGAGTTATGGATATTTGTTATGTACAGTGTGGGTGCTGGGACTCAAACTTGAGTCCTCTGTGAGAGCAGCCAGTGCTCTTATATCACTGAACCGTCTCTCCAACTCCATATAGTAGGTATTTAACAGTAATGGTATACACCAAAGAGTCTTTATATTTGCCCATGTGCACTGGAGGCATCTATTTCTTCATAAGGCTTGCAGTAGAGTTACCTTTCATGTATACTTAAGGATTCCTTTTAGTCTTATCTATAGAGCAAATCTATACTAGTAGCTCTGTTTAATATTTATTTGGAAAGGCATTGGTCCCTCCCTCTTTTTTAATTAAAAATATTTTCTTTCTTTTTTTTTTTTTTCCTTCCTTTTGGTCTTTTTTTGAGACAGGGTCTCCCTGTAGCCCCAGCTGTCCTAGAACTCACTATGTAGAACAGGCTGGCCTCAAACCCACAGAGATCTGCCTGCCACTGCCTCCCAAGTGCAGGGATTAAATGCATGTGCCACCACACCTGTCAGAAAAACATTTTCTTTAGAGACAGGGTTTCATTGTGTAGTTCTGGTTGGCCTGGAACTCATTTTTATAGACCAGGCTGGCCTCAAACTTTCAGAGATCTGCCTGCCTCTGTCTCCTGAGTGCTGGGATTAAAGGCACACACTGCTATACCTGGTCTTACTTTTGAAGCACACTTCTACCACAGTTACATTCTTTTTTTGTTTGTGGAATTTTAATATTTAATTTGATTAAAATTTTATTGACAGTGGTGAAGTAGAGCATCTGTAGTCACCTGCATGAAGCTCTCATATATTGGGCCAATTAACATTACCTCATGGAGGAAGAGGGGTGGTTCAGGAGGTTCATAAGGGCTTCCTTTCCTTGAAATTATACAAGAGGCAGTTTAATGAGGTGGGATTATTCAGTGGGGTAGTTGTCAGTTGCCCTGGAAATTTCTCGGTGGTGTAGGTGTCTGTGCATTGCCCAGGGGACTTCCTGGCACTTTATCTATGTTTGAATTGCCTATGCTCCTGTAAGAAATTCAGTAAAGTCATCAGTTTCATCAAGTGAGAATAGGAAAATGATTCTTTCTTTGGTTTATTGGTGCACTATCTAGGATAGATAGGGATTATATCTCCCCTGGAAAAGTCACACAGCATAGGGTTATCAAGAAATATAAAGACTCAGGGAGTATGTGAATGGACATATTTTAAAATATCTAAATAAAAAACAGAAGGGGTGTGTGTGTGTGTGTTTGTGTATGTATGTGTGTGTGTGTGTGTAT